CCTTAATTTGCCTACCAATTCCAGCGTCATGTCAAACCCTCCTTTGTTTTTCTTGCATGTTCACGTTCCATTACCTTTATCCGATTGAATTATATAATTAACTCTGCAAGACAGTAATGAGGTCCATTCTTTGTGGCATTTTCGTGGTAACATAGTCAATCAAATGAAAAATCGCTTTTGAGTCGGTTGGTCTACTTTAAAGTTTTTTTTTCGTTTTGAAGAAGAAAATAATTATGCTTTCACTCGTCTCGAAGAAAATAATTAGCCAGTGTTGATCTAACCAGTATTTATCTCACATTGCTTAAATTATATCTCGTTGCTAACGGCGAGTTACATCAGTGCCGACAACGAAATTTGCGTCTATCCCATTCAAGCCCCCCAGCAAAATGTAGCCCCCTCCTAAATATTTAAATCACAGTATGGAGGGGCTATGCTTTATTGTTACCAACTGGAAGGTGGAAAGGGTGATTTATTTGGAAGCGCCCTGATTACTTTCGAATAATTCTGAAACCCATTTTTACTGTTACGATTAGCAAGGTTAATCCAAAGCGGTACTAGACTTCAGATTATCTAAAAGGCTGATTTCCTTTGATCATAAAGCTTCGAAAACAAAACAGTTCTCATTCAACTTCTTTTCCCGAATGATTTTTTTCTCATAATTAAATCGTCAGAAATTTTTTTGCAGTTGAGTTGATGGCCATGATTAGCTTTCTGTCTTGAAGTTTAGAGTTCAGTTCATCTTTGCAAAGTGGATGAAATATGTTTGAAAATATATTTTTGTACGATAGTCATTCATTTCGTATTGCATGTGGTGCGACCCTCCTCTTCCCCTCTGTTTAATAATTAGTGAACGTTATTAAATTGGAGTATCTATTCTCAAGTAAGGAACGTGTTTTACAGAATCACAACCATTTATGCTGACTTGCATGCTCATTTTCTAGAAAGTTTAAATTTAACTACTGACAGCTATTACTGATGATTACTGGTTGTCTTGACAGCATATTCTTGTTCTATATTGGTTGTTTTTTACCGACACAAATTTTAAGTGATAATGAACGAAATGATTTATCACTTATATAGGGCGTGTTGATCTTTTAAATTTTCGGAAAACTTTTCATATTTTCACGCTCAAGTTTCTTTTTTTTTTTCGATTTCTCTACGCTTGCGATTAGCAAGCGTTATCAAATCGGAATGTAGACTTCCGGTTTAACAACTAGTTTAACAAAATCAGTTGAATCGTTTATGATGCTGCTATGCAGCTGAGATGCTCAATTTCATAAAAGCTCAAATTAAACTACTGGGTGGGTACTAGTTGCTATAGGATAGTTTCAGGGACGACTTGAGTCTTCAGAAGTTTTTTTTACATGATCAGTTTTTTTTTCGGCTCAACAGGTGTCTGCTCAAAGATTGTCGGCCTTGTTTCCTCTTTGTAAGTTTTGTTCAGTTGCTAATTTGAATTTTTATCGTCTTGCTTGGCATGCTCGCTTCGAATCCTGTTTGATAAAAAAAGTGTATGGGGTTTTTTATTTTTTTTTGAGACGCTTCCGAAAATTTTATCAAAATCTTCAAAATTCTTCTACCGATTTTCAAAAAAGGGTATCCATAGAAAGACCACTTACATATTTGTGTGTGTGCATACTCTTCTCGTCTCTTTTGCTTCACCCTTTGTCTGCAGCCTTCGAAAAAGTCTGGGGGATTATTTGACCGATATTTTTGATTTTTTTTCGTTTTCTGAAAACTAACCTACCAAATCTGATTTGATTTCAATGAAAAGAGCGGATTGGAAAAGCTCCCCTCCATAAGCGGCTACGCCCATTTTGTTTGAATCATAAAATTGCGGCCCTCGTAAAAGTAAAATTTTAGATTTTTGACCGTTTTGTTTGAATCTTTTAAATTTCTTAAAATTTTGGCTCTCGTTTTTCGACCAGTTTTGAAGCTTTCTGATTTTTCTCGAGAACTACCCTGCCAAACGTGGGTTTTAGGTTCAGTTAAAATTACAGATTGGTTGAATCTCCTGAACTATCCTGCCAAATCTGATGTCAGAAGTTTAATCGACACAACAGGTTGTGGGACGATTACCTTTATAATTTACTAGGCCCATTTGCATTTACTACGCCATTCAACCTAGGAAAAGTTATGAAACTTTGACCGTTTTTGGTAGTTTTTTTACTCAACTCAAAAATTACCGTAACCATTCTCATATTAATTGTTCAATGGAGAAACTGATTTTGGGAATCTTCATTATTTTACTGACGATGACTTTCAGAAAGTTCATGGTTTTCAGAAAGTCAAGTTTTTGAACTTTGACTGTTTTTTTTTCGAGTTGTCTTAAAACTGCCCTAGCAAATCTGAGATGAAAGTTTTAGTCGAAAGAAGCGGTTGCGCAAATTTTTCTTGCAGACTCCTGAGTTTTTTGTAAGAGAAAGATAAAATTGTTGTGAAAGTCCCAAAACCCAACTACTCATTTAGTTTAAAAAAACTAAGGTTTTGTTCAATTTTTGAAATTACGCATTTCGTCCCGCATAGTATAACAAATTCTAAAAATCAAACAAGTACCACCAGCTTTAGCTAGGCGCTAGGTGTCCTTCATCGAGACATACGAAAACTTTGATCCAGCTAGTTTTTTTAACCATTTTTCATTGTTTTCGGCATGATTTTATAATGATTGTGTTGTATCGCAAGTCTTGCGGACCTCCGCTTCGCCTGTGTAAATTTTTTTTGCCGGCTCAACTGGTGCCTGCTCTAAAATTGTTTGCTCAGATGCCACATCGCGGATTTTTCTTGTGCTGTAAGCAACTTTCATTGGAGGTGCAAGTGTTTAGTTTCAAGAGGGACTTATTTTGAAAAATTTTGGCTCAACTTGTGGATTGTCGGCATTGAAGATTGTCGGCATTGTTTCTTCGTAATATTTGTTCCGTTGCTAGTTTAGCGTTCATTTCTATGGCATGTTTGCCCAGAATGAACTTCTATCATCTCTCTATTTTTGGTAGACCTAGTTTTGTTTCAACATTTTTGATTCTTTTTTCGTTTGCATTTTATCGCTTCGCCTCGGTGTGTTAAATTCAATTTATATTCAATTTATATTCATTAAGTTTCAATAATGGTCTTTTTTTCAAAGTTCTCAGCTTTTTCGGTGTCGTTTCTAATTCAGTCGGCCTCCATTACTTGTAAGTGTTTTTGGGAATTACTGGTAATGTTCAAGATTGGTCCTACTTTTTGAAGTGTTTTTGTTAAATCAAAGACCGTCTTTTCAGAAAATTAAAAAAATTGAATCGGTCTTAACCATTTTTGGGGGTTTTTAAGTGACGTGTTGTGATTGTTACATAGTTTTTGGTGCAGGTAATTGCGTTCACATTTTTGTGCATGATTTTTTTTTATTTTCCTTTTTATCGTCAACAACAATTTTTTTAATTAGTTTTTCTTGCTTTCTATCTTTTAATGGTTGGAACTGGTTGAATTGATAAACTGTTGTTTGGAAGTCTTGAAGTTCTATCAAATTGGCAATTAATGTGTCCAATTTTTGATACTTTTTTTACTGTAAATTTCAAGCGTTAATCTCTTTGAAATTTGAGGTTGTTTTTTGCTGTTTTCCACAATCTCTTTTTTGCGTCATTTCATTTCGTTATAAGACTAAACATAAACCATTTTCAGTGTTTCTCTTTGTTAAAATTTTTTCAATTTGAATGCAATTTTTTTCTTAATAATGCTTTTTCAAGTTTTGATGATATTCTTTTTGTATTCGGGCTCATTGTTATTCCTTCGAAATTGTTAAATGGTGGGCAGTCTTCATTAATTACACTGGCTTGCTCCAACTATTTTTTCTAAACTTCTTGTTATTTGTGTGTAAATTTATTTTATTTGATATGAAAATTGGGCTAACTTTTTCAGTTTTACGCTTGCGATTATTATTGTTATCAAACTAGAGAATTTCTTGAAACTTCATATGTAATTACTGGCTACTAATAATAGTAAAAAGTGATAATGGCTATATCTAAGACTCTTTAAACATTTTTGTTTAATATAATGAACGAAGTGAAGACTCTTATATAAGTCATGCTGATTTTTTTTCAGAAAGTCTTAAAATTCTCTAATAACTACAGATGTGCATTCATAGACCTTGATGCATTTATGAATGCACTTAGTTATATACACTTTTTGAGTTCAATTGAAATTCATCTGCTGAAAGTGACGTAAAAACGAACGTGGAAATGGCGCAAGAAAAAAACGTGAGCGAATTCTAGTTTCGAAAGTGGAATTTACTTTTTAGATTTCCAGCGGAATAAAAACTTTACCTATTGATCCAGTTTTCTCTAGTTGGGTTCATGTTATCAAAAAAGTGCCAATTATCAATTGTTCTAGAAATTCAAAGAGCTTAAATTAAAGAGCATCTATTTTTTTTCTTTGAAATTCGAAAGTTGAGATTTTTTTTCAAGAAAGTCAGTTTTTTGTTTACTTGCTTTCATTACTCTTTTCCAATCTTCGATCAGCTATGTTTTTAATAGAAATGTGATTTGAACACTTCGCAATGATAGTTTTTTAGCTTCATGGGTGTCGATTGTGGCACTGTCGACTTAGTTGCCAAATTGTTGATTTTTTTTATATATGTAAGTGCGTAGTAATATATAGGATCTGAAAAACTTTTTTTTTCTAAATCAAGTGTGAGATGAAAGCGTTCTTGGGAAAATTCCATTTTCTCAGAAATTGTCACTCTTCTCGCTGATTTTAGTAGAGGTTTAACAAAGGTTTTGGGTAAAGTTTCCATTTTTGGTCTAGCATCAGTGTAACAAATTCATACAGTATCAAACACGTGCTTACAGCGTTAGCTGTGTCCCTAGTTCTTTTTAATCGAGACACACGAAAAAATTTTCTTACATAGTTTTTTAAACATTTTTCATTTTTTTCGTCTTATATTTGTTTTATGCTTCGCTAAGCACAGTTTTAATCCGCATACTTGAAATATACTTTCTGAGTTTTGAAATGATGGTCGATATTAGGAACAATTGCTTAGTCAATTGTTGCGTACATTTATATTGGGTGTAGCTCGTGCATCAAAAAAAATCAGGGCTACAAGCGCTGGATAATTTAGAGAAAAAAAATTATTTATTTCTACAAAAGAATTTCGAGGTATTTCAACAAAGCAAATTGTTTCTGGGAACCTTTTCGACAAATTTGGATTTGTTTCAGCTCAATTTAATTTGTTTACCTCGGCCATTCATTCTCATGCCAATTGGTTCTTTAGCAAAGATTGGGATAGATTCGGTCAAGCTGCGAAGATGTTTATTTCACCCTGATACAAATGAACTAGTTCACTCGAACCCTCTATGATTGCATACAAGCTATGTTATCTCTCATTATGATTTTTGGAACAAGTGAAGAAATACTAATTTAATTTGCTCTCAAGCTTTAATTTAAATCTTTTCTTGTGAAAGGTACCTTATATACGTAGTGCATTTCCTTCTACGTACACTCATTTTTCCATAAATTTAGTTGACCTTTAATACTTGATTAACTCTGCTGTGCAGCTTTTAGCAGACAAACTTCATTTCAAACCAACCCAGTAAGGTGATTACTTTTTTTGCCAAAAATTGTTGATATTTGCTTTTAAGGGCAGCTTAGAGCTCCAATAATTTTAAAAAAGCATTAAATCGGAAATTGAAATGCTTGGACAATTTTTGAAACAATATTCCACCGACATGATGACTGAAATTCCATACCGGCATTATGATTTATGAAGTTTGTCTTTTGAATGCCCTGTATGCAGTATTTGAGTTTACAACCTTTAGGTGGGCATTGGCTGCAATTCTCTTTGATTCTGACGCAGATCACGTTATTTAAGTCGATGCCTTCCCATTTCACTCAATACTTCGAAGCACCGTCATCCGTTTTATCGGAAAACGGGCTCGAATTGTTGCTACATGCCATTTCAAACATTGCGAATGCCAATCACTCTAGAACTTCCGCCTGCGTCGAGAAACAAGACTGCGCAGCGGGGCTTAATTGGTTCTGGTCAGCGATTTATCAAAGGCTTTTTAATTCAGATCGAATGACCTTTTTAAAATCCCGGTCCGAATTTGAGATGCCCTGTGCTGCTTTATTCGCCACCTGTGAAGCGAAAAATCCCAGCGCTTGCGGCCAGGCAAAGGAACGTAATTTGGCGTCTGCGGGAAATCTCAATTCTGATTGGTTGAATATATCTGACACGGCATTTATTTCACAGGACAGTTTACAGAGTTTTCCATCTCTGATTTATTCCATTTTTTTCGGTAACAGTACTCTTATATCGCCAATTACCCAGAACTCGAGCAGTCATAGTAATTTAATCCCAGCTTCCCCCGCTTATTGTGGAAAATTGGGTCTGAACTCGGAGAAAACTGCGGGGTCAAGTTTCACTGACTACAGTAGCAACCAACGTGTTTTTGTTAATGCCAATATCCTGTCAAAGCTACAAGAATTCTCATTATCCTCTCTCTCAAGTAGCGATTTCCCGTTTTCATCTGCAGCAGACCGGAAAATTTCGGAATATTCAGAGGAAGCGTTAATAAATCTTGGTGGCGTTTCGGAATTATCCGGCGAGAACAGTCCAGGCTTTTTAAGTTCGTCTATTGAAGATCATTGGTCTGTTTTTAAACAAGATTTCGTGCCATATGAAACTGCTGGAGTAGATGTTTGCTTTAAAATATCTGATTATATATGCCCGAATTTATCAACACATCAGGTGACCTCGAAAGGTGCTGAATTACTCTGCTCAACAATTATCGACTCCATTGATCAAATTACTCTCAATTTTGCTTATAATTCGTCATCGAAATACCTTTCTGCCCTGACCTCATTTGAGATCGAAGAAATGAGGAACTTAAATAACTCCTCGATGGTCATGTCCAACGTTAGTGACCTGGAGTCCACGGCAGGATCTCCGGATCCGATGAGTCCGATGTTCTGGTTCTGGTTGGTCGTCGGATTCCTGATGGTAATCATGAGCCTGATGACGACACTGGGAAATATGCTGGTCATCGTGTCTTTCATCTACGAGAGCAAACTGAGAACAGTGTCTAACTTTTACATTCTCAATTTGGCCATTGCGGATTTCTTGATTGGTAAGTTCAAAACTCATTTCATGATAAACTATTTTTTGGGGTTTTTTTTGAAAAATTTTATCCGATATCAATCAAGGTTAAAAGAATAAAAAAAGTTTTAAAAAATGTTTTTTCATTTTTTAATTTAATTGTATTTTTTCTCTAGTTCCAGGGTGATTGAATACGTTGAATGAGACATTATAATAGCTAAAAAAATTTGAAAATTACGAAATTACCTGAGAATTAATCTGAGAGTTCATTTACTCATGACTCGCATCGTGTCATTTGTAATTTGGAGGTGCGTTGTTAAACCGATGTGTCAGTAAATTACCAGATCAGGAAACCGAATTTCGTAAAAATTACATCAATTGCGGAAATTAATGTTTATAGAATTAACTTTTCAGAGCTAAAACAATAATTTGAAAGCTGTGAGATTCATGGCAAGAGTTGTCTTATTTAAATAATGCTTGCGAATAGCAGGCGTTATCAAATCGGAATATAGACTTTTTTGGGTTATCAACTTGTTAAACAGAATCACTTCTATCTTGGGTCACAATTTTTTCCTTTTCTGAGTACTTTTGATTGTTTGCATTTAACTCTAAAACTGCGTAATGGTTACGTTTTCTGTTCACGGAAAATCACCCTCAATAATCATTTTTCTGCTGAAATCACTTAACACTTCCCAGCTGTTCCATAAACCAATACCGCGTCTTAAATTACTGGTTGACGACCTCTTTAAATGTACGAATTCATTGCGCCGTTCTGAGAGTAAAATATTTTAGAAAACCGGGATGTTCTTTTTCATTGCCTCTATGTACCTGCCAAATTTTGAGTCCACTGTAGAGGTTCACCCCAAATACTTGAAATAATTACATCTTATACCTAGAGAGAACAATTTTTGCAACAAGTTCCAAAATTATAAAAAAAAATTGCACCAGATTCGTCAGAGATAATGGACCACCAGATCTTGCTTTAGCAATTATTAAAGAATAATATCAGAGTGAAAACGATCATTATCCTAGTGATAAGCAAGGGTGTTGCAACCGGGTACTATACTTTTTCCGTAAACTATTTTGTTCACAAGATTTCACGCTTGAAAGTTACACGTGTTTCAACTTGCTTCGTAAATTCAAAATCAAGCAGTTAGCCAGAGCATCTGGTGTAGATGTAACCCACCTGCTGCAGAAGAGAAGGGAGTAGGTCTGAATTCTGCCGGGACCTGTTTTTTTTGCATACTAACACGATCTCTTTTTGAAAGATAAGCTTTCTTCTGAACTTCTGAATACCATTTCTAAAGCCCCATCGGTATGAGTAAATGAGTTACAAGTTTTTCTGCCGAATTCTTATTTTCACACTTGCAAGCTAGCGACCGTAGTGTATTAGTATTAATTTACTTTGTTTCCAACCTAACTTGTAAATAAAAGTGCTCATTTAGTGGCGTAAGTTTTTAATAAAATATTTTAAAAATTGGCGAGTTTTGGCTTCTTAAGTTTTATTTGCAAGTTTGTTTCCGTAAACTACTTTTTTCCTTTAAGAATATCTGCTGTTGTTTGAGCGCTTAATTTTTCATCTTCAATTTCAATTAGGACCAAAATTGGCAGCATTTTGAGAAGGATTGAACTAATTCATACGCGGAGTTTTGAGCCATGCTCGCAACTAACAGACGTTATCATTTCGGAAAATTAATTTTTTCTTGTAAACAACTTGTCCTGTAAACAACTTGTCCAACAAAATAACTGAATCATTTTCTGAGATATGTCCGCATTCCATATTTAGAGAATGTCCGCCCGCCTTCAAGATTTCCGCTCTACCCAGTATTTATTTTTGTTCGTTTCAAATTTATCAATCCCGGTTAAAATTGATCGGTTTATACCTGATCGGTTTGGTGACATCATATTGTGTCGTTGGATGAGCAAAACAAGTTTCTTATGCGTGCGTGTTTTTGAGGGTTTATTAATTTTAGAGTCATGAACGTAGTGAATTTTTTAATGTAGGGCTTCGTGATTTTTTCATGAAAAAGTCTGAATATTTGTTCATGCTAAAATTTGATTTTTCGCAGCTTGACGTTTGATTTGTTGATAAGTTCACTTTATTTCCTAAGTTGAAAGAAAGGCAATTTCACTATCGAACATCAAACATTTAAAGGTCTTGAAAAGTGTATTTGGCTTCAAGTTTCGAAAGTTGAGTTTAATTTTCGGATTTCCCAGCGGAATAAAAAATTACCTATTAATTCAGTTTTCTCAAACTGGGTAACTTCTATCAAAAACGTGTCATTCAGAAATTGTTGTTGAAGTTCAAAGAGCTTCGAGGCCATCTTTTTTTCCTTTGAAATTCGTACGTTGAAGTCCTTTCAAAAAATATGTCAGTGTTTTTCTGTTTATTTGCGTTCATTACTCTTTTCCAACGGTCTGTTGGCTATGTTAACTGTTATTTATTATAAGTTTTCAATTTATTAGAAAACAATTTTTATGGCTTGGCGCAAGGGGGTGTGTGCAGGTTTTTTTTTAGCTAGATACCTTGTTTGGAAGTTTTGTTTCGATTCAGTTTGAATTTTCATTTGTCTTGTTTGTCAAATTTGTGTAAAAGTTAGCTTTATTCATGACGAATTGAGACAAGAATATGAAAGTTTTGGTGGATCTAGCTTTTCTCGACAAATTTGAGTCAAGGTTATCGATTATTTGGTAGATCTAGCGTTCGAAAAAAAAATTTATTGAGCGGTTTTTGTCTCAATTTTGTTCTGATATTTTGTCATGCTTTGTTTGTGCTGTATCGCAACTGGTGCGAAGCTCTGCGTCGCCTCAGTTTTGAATTAGTGAAAGTTAGCCTTTAGCTGAGACAATTTATGAGTCTACTTGGTAGAACTCAAATGAATTAACACATCCATTCATGACCCTAACACCTACTGCTGTAAAGGTCGAAACTTAATTGTGGGGGCAATCTGGCATAGGGTAAAATGATATGAGGTAAAATGATATATGGGGTAAAATGACTTGGGGGTAAAATGGCAGGGGGTAGATTGGAATAGGGTAAATTGTCCTGCTGTTGAGCTCTGTGGATTTCTATCACGGAAGAGACGAAACTCTCCCATGCTTTTTTTTGCAATATTTGGTTGTTTTCTTTGTACGTGCCAGTTTGGGCTCCTGTTTTGATTCAAAACGTCAATTTTATCATTTAGTTAAAGTTCAGTCAAAGTTTTTCTCGATATGCTTAAAGAAAAGCTTGACCTGTATGACATTGAGCTTTACTTGGAGAATCTGGTGTAAAATTGCCCATTGTTTCGTTAGCTTTTAACTCTAAGCCAGCTATGGATGAAATATTTCACTTTGTAGCATTCCGGCGGTCGGACACTGCATTCTGATGACAAAATATTCTGAATTTAACTATGGTACTTTTTTGGAACCAAGTTAAAAAGAAATCATATGTAATTTAATTTAAGATCATCAGAGGGGCAGCTTCTTCAGTTTCAAAAGAGTCGTCGAACCTGAGCTTTTGATAGCAGTCATAGATTGCTGATATTTTTACAAAGCACTGGATGATTAAATTTGGTGTAAAGTTGGTGCTATTAATCTTTGCTTTTGTTTGAGCGCTTAATTTTTCATCTTAAGTTTCAATTAGGACCAAAACTGGCAGCATTTTGAGAAGGATAGAACTAATTCAACTCCTGTAGAAAAGAAGAAAAGAGAGCTTTATAATGCCCAAAATGCAAGCTTGCAATTTGATTTCATCTAATTTGGATCAATTGACAAAATCGGCTTTCAATGCCTTGCTTGCAAAACGTATAGAATGAGGGATGGTGAAAGATACTACGTCAATCTACATGAAAAATTGATAGAAGAATATTTATGAATATAATATTAGCTACGGGGCAATTTGATATAAGGTAGATATTTGAAAAACATGGTGGTAATAGCAAGCTGTTAAGCCGTAGCCCCTATGTTAGTGGTATCCTTAAGATGATAATACCCAAAGATTAAAACGGCAATAGATTTGTCTGCAAATTTTTAAATCCATTGCATGAAATTATGTGATATGATTTGTCTGGAATATATTTGACTGGATACGAATAGATTGTCCAGCTGCTGGGCAAAATACATCGATATTTAACAACTATCGATTTTTTAAAGCTTACTTATCAGTTTTTTTGGTTTTCAAATCAATGAAATATTGCGTGCGGCACGAACAGCCGTTCTGATCGTTTTTGCATTTTGCCTGGAAGATGAAAGGAGGTTGGTTATTCGCATCAACATAATTTTCACCGGTGGTTAGTTTTACGGTTGTTTAAAACACAGTTCAACTTAAATAACCCAGTTCATTGTACCAAATGTCAATTTCAGTGTCTTAGAAGGAGGCGCTTTCTAATTAGATGGCAATAAGGACGATGACTTCTTGTAGCTAAGTATCGTAGATCTAGATTCAGGAAGGCTTTTTGGGATAATTGAAAGCTGAGCTCGCTTATCATCTGAAGTGTTCTAGCTAACATAATAAAGTAGTCAGATTGTTTGCACTTTGCCCATACCAGGATGTGATGCGTCGTTGATTTTTTTGAATTTATGACTATTCTGATGGCTCTCAAAGGTTACAAGGAAGTTAGATGGCGCTTTTATCGACCCTAATTTATCGATGGTGGAATATTTTGTCGAAGTATATTTTTTCTGAGCTAGTTTTCTACATTTTTCAGTGATAATTTCCGGCTTTAAATGACTTGTGGAGGAAGATGATGTATATTGTTTTGAAAAATTTAATAATGATATCCGGGCAGATGATCAAAGTACTCAATTAGCTGTCTGCTAAAACTTAATTAAAAGATTTTTATTTGTTTTCTATTCACGATGGTTGTGCAATTTAATGACGGCACTAGAGTCCACCTGATCTGGAAAATTGAATCCATTTTGTTTCCTATTTGACCTCGAAGAAGGCAAGTGGCAAGATTATTTGTATTCGAGTATATTTTAGTTTTTTTTTCCACGCAATCAGGAACCAGAAATAAATATCAGATGTTGTCGAGTGCTTTATTGAAAACC